ACAAAGTAAATTGTACCACAATAAGAGATTACAAACCAAATTAAAATAGAACATATTTAATGTTCATGAGTATCAAACACTATGTACAAACGAATATTCATTTTCCTTGGTCCCATGTTACAGTTAAATATTTAGCTACATGTAAATATTTTTTGTAATCTACTAAGCATGCTAAAAATTTCCAAAATTCAATGGATAGGTTTGGATAATTATATAGCCCATCCTCTTTTCACCATATTACCCTTTGATAATAAATAAAATCTGAAATATGTTTTACTTTTGTTTTGTAGTATTGGGGATTGGACCAGGGCCTCACACTGCTAGATAAGTACCACTGAGCTACATACATCCCCAGCCCTTTTAATTTTATTTTTGAGACAGGGTGTCACCAAATTGCCCAGGCCAGCCCCAAACTTCCAATTCTCCAATCTCAGCCTACAGAGTTGCTGGGATTATAGGTATCTAGCTCAACAGCTTTTAACACAGTATAGAAACATGTATTACTTATACCTCTAACAAATTAAAACTTAAATACCTAGCATGTGAAATTTATTTATTTTTATTTTCTTGGTGTGCTGGGTACTGAACTCAGGGCTTTATCTATCTAACCAAGTCCTCTACCACTAAGTCACATCCCCAGTCCTAGTACATGAAAATAAACCTCAAATTATCAAGTTTTGTATCTCTACCTTTTTTGAGTGTATGATACTGGGGACTTAATCTAGGATGCCCCACCACTGAGCTATATCCCTAGACCTTTATATTTTTATTTTGAGACAGGGTCTCATTATATTGCCAAGGCTGGCTCCAACCTGCAATCCTCCCACTTCAGCCTCCCAAATAGCTCCAATTACAGACATGTGCCCCCATGCCAGGCCTCCACCTTGTTCTTAATTTTTTTGACCCTTTAAGATATTTACTATAGGGCTGGGGTTGTGTCTCAGAGGTAGAGCGCTTGTCTAGCATGCATGAGGCACTGGGTTCAATCCTCAGCTCCACATAAAAATAAAATATTGTGTCCACCTAAAACTAAAAAAATAAACATAAAAAATATATTTACTGCAAATAGATTTGATATTGTTAAGAGACTTTTTGTGGGAGAGACAGGGTCCTGCTTTGTTGCCCAGGTGGTCTCAAACTCCTGGGTTCAAGTGATCCTCCAGTTTTAATCTCCTGAGTAGTAGCTGGAACTGACATAGGCATGTGCCATCATGCCCAGTTCATACAAGGCATTTTAGAAAAATAAAATCCGAGATAATAAACGAAAAAAAATAATAGATTTTGGATCTTTGAAATTGAGTACATTAAATCTGTTATTTTACAGGTGGTACAGAGAATAATATGTAGGATAAAAACTATTTTTGAAAGGGTTTTTTGGACAGGAAATGTTCACTACAGAATGCTGATTGGGAAAAAAAAAAGAATCAAAACAATCTATACACAGTATGATCTTAATTCTTGTCCTATTCCAAAGTTCATAAAGTTTCTATAACAACACATCTCTTTTATAACTTAAAAATATTCAAATACCCTTTATATGTTTTGAATTCAGTAGAATAAACATATCAAGTTGTGAAAGGAAAAGAAAAAGAAACATGAAAGTGCTAAGAAACACAATTCTATGGCTAACTGAAAACAAAAGTCAAGACAAAAACATAGGTCCTGTTGCATTTTATCCAAGGTACTTTCCACTATATCATATATTTGTCCAATTCAATATAACTTTATTTTTATTTTACCAATTCTGTTTCAGTCTCAAGTCTATTCACACAGTGACCTTAAAAATTGCTAACAGATTACATTTTATAATACCATTACCAGATTACCCCACAGAGATAAAATTTAAGAATAGACAGCTAATGATTATCTTGAGTCTCAAGATAACAAGGACATCTATTTTACCATATTCATCTTGGAAATTCTACCAAAAAGCACAATGCCCCCCCAGTAGACGCTTAGTAAATTTTATTCTATAAATAATAGCTTCCCCCGCCCCAGGCACTAGCTACGAGACTTAAATATTAAACAAAAACAGCAAAATCTCATTATTTTATATTTGGGGTGTCCAGGCATTTAATATAGAGTATTTTAATTTTATAATGTAATGTCAAGGGAACATTTACATTCATAAAAATATTTCAAGCACTATACAAATGAACTGGTACATTAATTACAATAATTTTTGCCCATTGAAATTGGCCTAACCTTCCCCATTACTTTGTTAGACTAGCTGGAATCACTGAATGCACTAGAAAGCAATAAAATTACAGGTATAGTACCAGGAGCACCGGACTAGAACCTAGACTCTAGTCTAAGTTTCACTAATAATCAGATATTATTAATTATTTATTATTAACTTTGGGCAATTCACTTTTTTGTCTTTGAATCTTAATTAATATATTTGAAAAAGCAAGAAAACTAAACTCCTAATCACTGTGCATCTTTCCAGTGTTAACTTTCTTTTCTTTTGGTGGTACTGGGGCCCAGGCTTTGCATATACTAGGCAAGTGCTCTACCACTGAGCCACATCACAAGCCCTAAATCATTTTAAAAATTAATTCTTATCCACAAAGATTCTATAATTCAGACTTCTTTCATGATGTCAAATTTGATATTCTGAATGTTAGTTTGCTTCATTTCATTTTAAAAAAATTTGAAATTGAGCATTTTGTAAAGATACATATTATTAATGTATGTATTAAAAATACGTATCATTTTTGCTATGTTATATTAACAAGGAACAATAAGACAAAACAGAAGAAACATGAGCACCCCATAATTGAACCTGTTTTGTTAGCTGAGCTGACATAAACCGTACAAATCATTAATATACTAATACATATGAATATATGCATACATACACGTACATAACAATGGCATATACTTATTTATGTTGATATGCATATAGATGTGTGTGAATTTTAAAACTTGTTTTAAAGAAATTTTAAACATACATTAGGGGGCTGGGGATGTGGCTCAAGCGGTAGTGCGGCCCAGGTTTGATCCTCAGCACCACATACAAACAAAGATGTTGTGTCTGCCGAAAACTAAAAAATAAATATCAAAAATTCTCTCTCTCACCTCTCTCTTAAAAAAAAAAAAAAAAAAAGTACATTAGGCCACATGTGAAGTGCAAAGTTTCCCAACCTGTGTGTCTTCCATAAGTAACCACTGTTAACATTTTTCCTGTGTATCTTTCAAGACATTATCTGAACAAGTATAAGTATACATATGTGTATGTGCCTGTGTCTATGTGTATATCTTAACCTAAATTTTTCACTTCAAAAAAAAATCTGGGGCTGGGGATGTGGCTCAAGCGGTAGCGCGCTCGCCTGGCATGCGTGCGGCCCGGGTTCGATCCTCAGCACCACATGCAAACGGGGATGTTGTGTCCGCAGAAGACTAAAAAAAATAGATATTAAAATTCTCTCTCTCTCTAAAAAATAAATGAATAAAATATTAAAAAAAAAATCTGAGCACCAGCTTCACACTCATGTTAAATACACTGAAGGCAGAGAAGTCACTGGCACAAAGTAGTATACTTTTGAGAACTGTTGACTTGAATACATTTTAATTTTTGTGCTTGGAGGCTATGTGAAGCAATAGCACAGGAGTGGTGGCCAAGGAACCAGACAACCAGGGTTCTAATTTAACTAGAGTAGCCTTAGGCAAGTAATGAAAACCTGAGCCTTATTTTCTGTTTTGTAAAACAAAAGGGTTGAGCTAAGATCCTTTTCAACTCTAAAATGTTATAATTCTAAAATGGCCGTCTGGAACAGTGTTCTCTTGAACTGGCTGTTAACAAATATTAAGGGGAAGAAAAGGAAGAAGAAATAAAGGAATATAATTGCAACCTCCTGTTTTACTAGAATAAATAATTTCTATGAGTTATTAACTATCAAGGTATAGTGGAAACAGAACTACTGACATAATTATATTTGAAGGCAAAGTAGTAGATTATTAAAATCGAATAGGTTTTTACAAAGCTTTGATTGACGTTTTTCTTTTTTCTTTTTGGTGGGGGATGAAGAGGGCTATTGCTTAGTTTGGGCAACAACTACTCCCCTCCCTCAAAAAAAAAAAAACAATTTAAGTGAATTGTGGAATTAAAATACTGAAAATGAAAGTCAAATTGACATTTTGTTTCAGAGAATATGCTAGGAAGGTGGCGAGGACAGCAAAGGTTGGAAAGAATTACTAGCTAATTTCCTCTTCCGGAAGCTCTTTGGCCTCTATTCTTTCTGTTTCACAAGCCCCCGCCAGACACGCTCCACCCTGCTCCATACGTGCCAGACATCGACTGGAAAGGGGGGGGGGTCCCTTTGATCATATTTTTTAAAAAGTTCCCAGACTTCATCTACCGTAAATGTCTAGGTTTCAAGGACGCCAACCCCAAGGCATGAAGTTACCCACCCACCAACCCACCGCCTTCCTTCCGTGGTCCTGGGAACTCGGACCAGGAGCCCCAGTCGGGCATCCCCCGCGGGCTGGCGGGCGCGGCCTTCCCGCCCTCCCTAGCAGCGCCTGGCCCTAGGGGAGGGGAAGGGTGGGGAAAAGGGAGGGGAGGGGAGAAAAGGCAAAGGGGGGGAGGAGGAAGGAAAGCCCGCACAAGCAGTACCCACCGCGCCAAGAAAGCGGGCCCTAACCGCCGGCGGCGATCAGCTCGGTCCTGAGGGGAGGGTCCCAGAGGAGGGGCGGCCCGAGCCCCAATCTGGAAATGCCAACTCCGCTCTGCGGCCGGGCCCCTACCTAGAAGGAAACGGAAGTTCCTTCGAGTCTCTCACTGGCCTTCACCAGCTAGCCCGTCCCTCGGAGAAACCGCGAGTCGGGGAACCCGAAGTGTGTTCACTTCAGGGCCTCCAAGAGGCCTCGGGCGCAGTCCGTCCTCCTTGGCCAGGCTCTGGCCACTGGGCCCTGACCGTCTCCTTCCCACCTTCCGGCTGGGAGGTCAGCCTTGCAAAGCTCCTCCTTCTTCCCCCCTCCGCCATTTTCGAACTTACCCCTCCGGCCCTGGCGTCCCTCGATTAGCTCCGCGCCCGCTCAGGACGCCGCCAAGGTCCCTCCACTTCCCGAAGCCGGAAGGGGGCAGCCAGAAAAAACGAAGTCCTCTTCACCCCCCACTCCACTCCCCCCCCCAAGCTGGAAACCAGAACCTGCCCAAGCGGGCGCACATGCGCAGTGAGCACCTCGCAGTCCCCGCCCCTAGCTCCCCCGTTTCCTCTTTTAGCCTCGAGGATTTTTTTTCACATGCCTCATTACCCGCTGGACTCTAGGGTTGAGGAATAAAAGGAAAAAAGGATTGAAAAGAGAAGGGAGAAGAGGTCGAACATGTTCAGTTCTTACTGTAGACCAGGCACTATGTGCTAGGCATATAGCATGTTCTTTGTTGTAATTTTAACAATCCTGTTATTAAACCCACTTTACAGAGGAAACTGAGGCCCAGAGAGACTAACTATCCCAGTATCGCCTGGCCAATAAATAAGGAAATTGAGATTTGAATCCCATGGGGACAAAAATGAAAGGAATGACAAGAAAGGAAGAGATAGGAGTTAAGAAAAAATTAGAGGAGAAAGAAGAAAGAAAACAGGAAGTCATTGTACATAAAATGCTGATCATACCCCGAGTTTATTTCAAATATAGGACTGTCAGATTGACCTATAAGTTTATGTTTGAGGAACTTGGACTCTTACAGGCGAGTGTATGAGTTGTGAATATTTTAAGGGAAATGTCGTAAGTACCACTAGCATGTTAAATGATGCTGCCCTTCATGAAAAGGAAACTTGGAGGACAGAGGAAAGAATTTCCTTTTTGGTCCATGGGATTTTTGTTTGTTTGTTTGTTTTGTTTTGCTATTGAGGATTGAACCCAGGGATGATAACACTGAGCCGCATTCCCAGTACTTTTTTATATTTTATTTGGAGACAGGGTCTCACCCAGTTGCTTAGCGAGCGGCCTTGCCATTGCTGAAGCTGGCTTTGAACTCGCGATCCTCCTGCCTCAGCCTCCCCAGCTGCTGGGATTACAGGCATGCGCCACCGCACCTGGCTCCTCCGTGGGTTTTTGCTAAGTTATTATCCCCTCTGATCTTTTCTTACTGTCAGTGCTGGGCATCTCACGTCTTATTTATTGTAATAACAGTAATTGCAAGCAAATAAGAAACACTATTAAATCTCACAACAATCTTATTTAGTATGAATTCATTATGCCCCTTTATTTTTTTGAGATAGGGTCTCACCATATTGCCCAGGCTGTCCTCAAACATCTGGGCTCAAGCAATTCTGCCTTAGTCTCCTGAATACCTGTGACTATCCATTATCTCCCTTTACAGTCAAGAAAACTGAAGCTTACAGAGGTTAGGTGACTTGTGGAAGCTGAAATCTTAATTCAGCTGCAGTTCTGTCTGATCACAGATCTGTCTGACCATTATTCACCTATTCATTGACTTCTCTGTCCATAGTCTGGTTCTTCCAATCCAGCCTGCACAAAGCTATCTGAGTTAAATACTCCCAGACAATATTAAAACTCTTGCTGGACTCAGTGGCACTATCCTGTAATGCTATTTACTGGAGAGGCTGAGGCAGGAGGATTGCAAGTTTGAGGCTAGCCTTGGCAACTTAGCAAGGCCCAAAGCAACTTTGGAAGACCCTGTCTCAAAATAAAAATTAAGAAGTGCTGTGGTTGAATGTTTTCTCTGATATGTGGAAGCTAACCCACAATAAGGAGGGGGGATTTAAAAAAGAATAGAAGTTCAGTGGAGTAGACAAAGGGGAATGAAGAGAAGGGTGGGGGATGGGAAAAGGAAAGACAATAGAATGAATCTGACATACTTTTCCTATGTATGTATATGAGTATACCACAGTAAATCTCACCATTGAGTACATCCACAAGTAACTAATTTAAAAAAATAAGTAGGGTAAATGACAGAAAGGTCAGTAGAAGCAAGAAAGTAGGGGTAGGAGGAGTGAAGGTGAAGGAGAGGTATTGGGAACTGAATTAAAACAAGATATATTACATGCTTTTATATTATGTCAAAATGTATTAAGGGGCTGAGGCTGTGGCTCAGTGGAGAACCCTTGCCTACCATGTGAGAGGCACTGGGTTAAATTCTTATCACTACATACCAATAAATAAAATAAAGGTCCATTGACAACTAAAAATATATTTTAAAAAGTATTCTGTCATGTATAACTAAAAAGAACATATATATATATATATATATATATATATATATATTTT